AAAGACTGTGTTTATGTTTGAGAGGTCACTCTGAATTTTTTATCCCCAGAGACTTTTTCATGCAGCTGTAATTCATATTTATAATTAAGCTGAGTAATTAACAGTCTTTTGAAAGCAGAAACTATCTAGGTACTTGGGGAAAAGCTTTTCCCTTCCTGAAGTAAAACTGAGTTTTATCATTGACTTTGACACACAAAGGAATCCAGCCTGTTTTCTATGACCCAAAGCCTCATATATACAAATAGTCAAGGAAAACAGGTTTTCAAAAGCATGAGCATACACCCAAGCTTCCCTTGGAGACCCAAGGACAAATGGAACAAGCCAAAAATAAATAAAGCTAAACTCAGCTAGAAACCTAAGCTTTGTCTGCTTTGGATAAACTGTTAGACTGCTAAACTGTGTTGGGATGGAAGCTGACACCACACTCATTCACAGAGTAAATTCTCCTACAAATCACATAGTTGTTCCAACTTGTCATCAGCTGAAACTCTGCACTTCTGTTAGGAGAACTTTCATGTTCTCCCCCCATTCCATCAGTTCTCAGCAACTTTGCCTCCTTTTTATCTGTTCCTAGCATTTTCACTGAGATTAGAAGTACTTACTTTGGCACCTGTGTATTTCCCATATTCATGCTTGTTCCATATGTCTGCTGTTGAACTGGGAGACCACTGGAACAGAGACCATCTGAACTATATGTCCACAAATCAGCTAGCACACTGTAGTTTATGTAAAACATTGTTTTATAAGGTGTGATATGGTAAGGTATATCCCTCCAGCCATTTCATTTTAGAACCTGTGCTTAAACATCCATATTCAACATATTTGTTTCATAGTCTGATAATCACAAATTGTCATTCCAGGTGGCTATTTGAACTCCAAGTGTCTGATGGATGTCACCAACCAGATTGAATACAAAATACAGGAAGAAAGCCTGACTCTCTGACAAAAGAGACCAGGACAATCTTACTTTTTCATTCACTTATACTTCAAAAAAATAGAAAAAGTATAGTCACAGAGAGACAACATGGAGAAACTACAGATTATGGTAACTTTGTGGAATGCTTTCCATACTGAAGTTGCCTGGGAGGTCTTTTGCTTTCACATGAAAATTCAGCTAGAGTCCAGCAATATCATGGGTGTACACCCCTAAAACAGAAGTGATTTCAACAGAGCATATCATATTCTTTTCTTTCACATGCCCCTATGAAAAACAAAGCAGATAAATCTTCTATTTAGAGTGTTTTCATCCACTAGCATTAAGGAATAATTTTCAAGAGAATTGATTTTTAATGAAAATTTCACTGTCATGTAAATTTTCAGCAGTGATGGTACATGACATATAACCTATTGAAAAGAGCTAGAGAAATAAGAAACATTTTGGCATGCTACAAAAACCCACTAACCTGCAAATCTGAGACAGCTGCATAAAACAATTTTAAAGGTGTGAGCTACTATAATACAAATATTGATTTTTTTACTCTAGAATAAATGAGTATATCCTGAATATCTAATAATGGAAAGACTGACAGGAGACATACTGATTCCAACCCAAAATTTCCAGTGAATTAAAACTGTTTAACAGCAATCAGTACACATACTAGCTAAGCAATACTAAACAGCCTACCAATATGTTCATGTTTGCACAGATGCTTTTTAATTTGTAAAAAAAAAATAAAATTGACTTTTTATTTCCTTTGATATTCCTTTGGAGATGTTACATCAAAGATAATGTTGGCCATGCCTCTGGACCTCTGAAAACAGTAGATATTCTGATTATTTGGGTTTCTTACTATTTCAAGAGGGAGGAAGAGAGAGGACAAGGATAGAAAACGTTTAAAACAACTAGAACCATTTGCTCCTACATTGTTATATCTAGTTTTGGTATGGTTGTATGCTAGAATGTAATCTATTCCTTTATATTTGTTTTCCATTTTGTTTTGCTCATTTAAAAAAAAAAGTCAACAAAACACATCCTAAATATTGTAAAGAAGAGGTAGCATAGTAGGGCAGCCCACATTTACTATTAGCTACCCCATGCTTTATCATAAAATGGATTATAAAAATAGGTTCAAAAATGTATTTTTAAAAAATTATTGCTTATGAAGGCTCAGTATCAAGAAACAATGCACAAAACCTGCCTTTGTTCTGGCAACTCTCTGGCTCTGAATGACAGAGAGTGGTGAATAACAAATAGGCTAGCTGCAAAACAGGATTTGGCTGCTGAATAGCAGCACTGACAGTCCCTATAATTTCAAATGGCAAAACTGGCCTGAAACAATTGCTCACATATCCCCGGAGCTAACTCAAAGTGTACGACACTCGGTATGCTTTTACAGAAATTAACAGCAAGACAGACAGCATCAACTGTCTACTTCAAGGTAAAGGGTAAATGATAACGGAGAGGAACGAAAGGTAAAGATGGAAGCTGGGCCAAGTATAGACAAGAAAAGACAGGCATTCCTAGAGAAAGAAACAAATAAATTCGCAGACAATTCCTGGGGTTCCCTCTAGGCAAGGTACCCAGTGCTCAGTGGGTATAAGAGCTTAATTGCTATTCTGTAGCATCAACAGTCATGAAGCAAACACTAACATAAAGATCACATTTGATTTGAGAGTGATGTGGCAGATATACACAAGGTTACTGACAGCAAACTCTTTAGAGAAGTAGGAACCCCATGTTTCAGGAAACAAGAGAAATATTTTACAAAAAGTATCTAAAACAGAGGGCTTTAGAGAAAATACAAAGTAAGCATCCATGAAATTCCATGGAATATATGTATATACTAATTTTTTAAATACAGAATAATACAATATCATTCAGGAGAATTAGTTTAGCTAGGTATTCACTGTGATACACAGTGGAGTAAAATCATCAGATACAGTAAATTATTTGCAACAAAAGCCAAAATGTAAAAGCAGACTGCTGGTGGTTTTATGGCAGATTTTTTTCCTGCTTCTTTACCCAAGAAACAACATTTTATCAGTCAATTGACATTATATCATTACAGAGACTTTCGAAATGGTCAAACTGCCTACTTCTCTTAAATTAGTACAAGCCTAGCTATTTCATTACAAATTTAATGTCAGAAAAGAAATCTTGGAAAACTAAGATTTAATGTGCTAACCAGGATTATAGTGCTTCCCTCCCTCACAGTAAGACTCTACTACCTGCAGCATTACTACACTTATGGCTGTTACGAAGTACCCTGCCTCTCATTTTTATTGTATTCAGTTGAATTTCTTCTTCACAACATTCATTCCACTCAAATATACAAACTCTTTTACTTTAAAAAACAGTGTTCAGGAAGGCAAGTACTCTATTTCTAAACAGCCATGTACTGGCAGGAGACTATAAGCGCATACACAGCGTAATACAACCTGTAGTGGTTCGACGTCATTTTATATTGAAGGAGGCATCAAGAACTGAAAAAGTACTGAGCACTATAAGCAATATTCTATCCACTGAAGGAAAAAATACAAGTGTTCAGTTTTGGGTCCCTCACTCCAAGAAGGCCATTGAGGTGCTAAAGCAAGTCCAGAGAAGGGCAATAGAAGAGCTGTGAGAGGGTCTGGAGGTCTGGAGAGCAAGTTTTATTTGGAGCAGCTGGAGTTGTTCAGCCTGGAGAAAAGGAGGCTCAGCGGGAACCTTATCACTCTCTACAACTGCCTGAAATAAGGGTATGGTGAGATGAGGATCAGTCTCTTCTCCCAAGTAAAAAGCAGTGAGACAACAGTAAATGGCCTCAAGCTCCACTAGGGGAGGTTTAGGTTGGATAGAACAAGAAATTTCTTCACTTAAAGGGTGGTTAACACTAAAAGGGTGAAACAGTCTCCCGAGGGAAGTGGTGGAGTCACCATCCCTGGAAGTGTTCAAAAAATGAGTAGTCATGGCACATTGTGATAACGTGCGCACCATGAGCATGGTGTTATTCAGTCAGAATTTGGACTTGATGAACTCGGAGGTCATTTCCAACCTTAATCATTCTATGTTTCTATGATTTCTGTGTTTTCAATCCTTGAATTAACAATTTTCAAGCAGTCACCTTACATTTTTATAGTATGTTATATATATACTCTTTAGATATGTCTTTCAAATTATTTTTAAAGGACTTGTGAAAACCAAATTTTAAAATTTTGAGCAAAAATTCAAAATGGATTGCCATTTGAAGGACAGGTTACCAATTTTAAACCACTCCAAGGTTTAAACCACTCCACTTCCACATTTAGAAATGAAGTTACAAAAGACAAAAGCTAACAAACGGAATGAAAGTAAACTAAAATAGAAATAAAAGTGAGTACAAGCTAAGGTAGACCAAGAACTATATTTGAAACAGTCTGGGGCTGATCCAGAAGACTTATGCTTTCTCTAAGGCTTTGAATGGGCCACTAATTACTCACTTTCTACCAGACATCACAGTCATGCACACAGTGACAACTTAAGTAATTCACATGTAACATAGCAAGTATATTGCATTTATGCATATCTTCTGCTTGGGTACATCAGTTTTCTTGAATGACACTCTTTATTATGTGATTTGTTTTATGCACATTTTTCAATGTCCAGATGGTGGAGATACAATGTAACAAGCAGATCATACATCCTTTTACCTTCATAACTAGTTCATTGAGGTAAAAAGCCACAGTAAAGAGACCTCACAAACATGTATTGTGCAATATTCCCAGTCTGTTCACGTTTCATCACCAGTAGAGTTCCAAAAGTGAAACTTCCACAGCTGACATTGATCAAGTTGGTTATTCTTTTTTTGCGGAACAACAGGTTTGAATTACTTTTAATAGAGCACCAAAGACTGTTAACAGTGTTAATGAATTGCCACTATGTGTCAAAAGGCCGATCTTAATAAAAACCTGGTTATTTATTCCTTACCTTAAACATGGTTTACTGCACTCTGCGTTGCAATAATCATCACAATTCAGATTTTCAATACATTTCAAATATCGGAACACCTTAATAGCAAAGCATATATTAATATACTACTCACCAATTTTAACCTTTGCAAAGGTATTCTGCTAGTGTCTATCGGAGTACGCTCTGTGACATTACCAAATCTGACTTCTGGGATGGCAATTGCACATATTACATGTGCCCACCTGTGAAAAGTGGCAAGTCAAAAATACCACCAAAAAAACCCATAGAAGTACAAGTGTTTCAGATGTTTCATTACTTGCTGTGTGTTTTGTTTTTTGCTTTTGTTTTCGGGGTTTTTTAAAGGCATCCATCTCTATTTAGTTCCTTATTAGGCTTTCCTAAACTTCTTCAAAACATTTTAGCAAATGTTACACCACCACCACTTCGTTTAAATACAATTTCAGACTGAGGTCCTGTTGCAACATTTTTTTAAGCATCTTTCACTTTCTATTAAGTGCGAAGTTTTCGTAGTTGTGCCATTCAGGTATGTATGTAAAGAACATGCTATTTGGTTCATGAGTAATTATCATCTACAGCATTTTGCATTAACATTTCTCAGACCTGAGTAACTATTCGTAGGCAACACACGTGATCACAATCAGTCATATATCTACTGAAATGCAAAACAAAGTATACTATCAAGATTTTCTGTTTACAGACACAATGGCATAAAAGCAGAGTGATCAGGCTATCAGTGCAATGCCCAACATGAACTGGATCACCTTTAGCAGTGAAAACACTTGCAAGTGCCTAGGACCAATGCTACATGTAAGACTTCAGTGCAACTTCAGGAAGTTTGTGAGATCATTCTATGTGCTTCCTATATTCATCAGAAAGCATTGCTATTATCCTCCAAATTCTCTTTCAATACATAAACATCAGAATAAGAAAGGCTAAATGAAACTTTAAAAAGTCTGAAATTAATATTGAAAGTGTATGTTTCATGGAGTAAAAGAGAAGCTAATGACATTCTTATTAACAAAGAGTAGCCTTCTGAGATTACTTCTAAAATCTTTTAGGGATAGACAAGTAGTAAATCTGAAGAAAGGAAAACATTTCTATTCTTTGACTCATATTTGCCTTATTCCCTGTCATTCACTGTACATCTGGTTTCATTACCCCAGCTGCTCTATTTCTTTAAGCCCTGAATGCTTGCCTCACTCCCATTTCTGTATATCTCCAAGAGACACATATTATTTGAGCATCTTAGCAGATTAACAGGAATGTGGGCTGAAACTGAAGGAGATGGAGGGTGATGCAGAAAAGAGAAACAATTTCTCTTTCCTGCAGTAGAGAAGTAGTATTTCAAATGAGTCATTGACAAAAACATCTAAAAAAGTACAATATGACACCCAACAACTAAATATAAACTGCTGTCATGTGACTTCAAAGTTGTATTCATCAGTGTGAAATAACAGCTGTATATAAAGATGACATATCAATTAGCAAGTTACAGATTCAGCCCAAATAAAAGCAGATAAAGCTTGCAGATCTATAATTTTATTAAGGTGACAGCTTTGTTCATGTTTTAACTTAAAGAGTCCTGCTTTAAGACTTCTTTAAATTTGTAATAACACCCTTTTTCTCTTCATTGCTGCCTGCCCACCTACTAAAAAACTAGTCTTACCATGTAAGCTTTATGGGACAGAAACGCTGTCAATAAAATACCTCTTCAATCAATCTTTACCCAATCATTTATACTCTGACATCTCTCAACCTAACAGACTCAAAATAATTGCTGTGTTCTGCTGAAAAGAAGGAATCTCGACTCTCCTATACGGTAAATTGTTTCCTGCACACACACACACAGTGTTTGATACATTAGCTTTTAAATATAAGTGATACTCATATCTCTCACTAGTTTGTAAGGAGCAAACAAGGAGTAAAAGGGAATGCACATGTTAGATTTTACACTTGTTGGAAAAAAAAGACATATTTGTAACATACTTTTCTGAAAAACTCAAAATCTTGGAATGGTAGCTGAAGCTGAAAGATAGATGAAAAACTCCACAATGTATAACAGCTATAAGGTATTATGGAAACAGGAATACAGGAGTTGAACTGCTTTTACAGAAATTCCATTTCATAAATCTGTAACACTAACCTACAGAGTGACAGAATGTAAAGGCAGAGACTTTATGTATTGTTATACAAAGAAAATCACTTTATGTAAACTTCTGTGGATTTTTTTTCTATGAATAAATCTTATGAAATATTTGGAAAAAATTTCAATTGGTTCACAAAAAAATATATACATATTTTCAAAGGAGCAACCTGTAATCAGTCAAATATTAAATATTAATCAGCAAATATTAAAAAGGGCATGAGATATTTCTGTCATCAACAATACTATTTTTGATAGTGTGTGCTATAAATGTATTTGAATAAAAAAAGAACGACTTCAGAATTGAAAATTATTTCAATATGATTAAAATTAATTAACTGAAAATACTGGTTTTAGAAGTTCAAAGGTATTGTATGGTAGTTTTCAGGAGGAAAAAGGAAAATACACTTTGGTGTTTGGTAAGACTTTCTCATGCAAACAGGGATAAATGAGCTCTCATTTACTTTCTCTACACAAAGGCCAGTAGATTAAAATTTGGAACAAGCAAGTGCGTGCAAATACTAAAAGAAACGTACATTTTACTATCTAACTATTTCACAAAATGCCAGTGGCACATTTGAATAGCAGTAATTTTAGTTCTGCAACAATTCAGCTTCAAGGGACACTGTCAAGTAATTATGTTTACAAATGCTTTGCACATGGGAATGGATTGGGAATAAAGTAAAAAATAAGCATATACAGTCCTGAAAAATATATTACTTACTTTTTGTCAGTAGTTTGCTTCAATGCACCACCTCTCAAATTGCAGAGACAACATTCCTAAAAATAAAAATAGTGTAGGAAAAAAGTTAGCATTATTTCCTGTTTAAAAATCAATTTTATTTAGCTGATCTTGAGGATAAGCAAATTTCTAATGTATTTAACTACTGGGATACAAACTGCCACTTATAAGCATGGCAGTTCCTTACAAGGGGAAAAAAGGATACAGTAACAAAAAGAGAACTCATATGAGCTAAAGAAAAAATATTTAAGTATTAATCATAAACAAAGTGACATAATCACTTTAAAAGTGATACTAAATTAAAAATACCAAAACTTTTAACCAGTAATGCCATAGAAAAGCCGAAATTGTCATACATATTATAAAAGTAAAATGAAGTGCTACAGCACATAATTAGTTTAATAGAAGTTACTGAGAAACTGACCCATAAGCTATTGATCTAATTCAATTTTTTTTTTCTTTTTCTTTTGCTGCAGTATACCTTCACTGCTTTGATCATCAGTACAACTCCAGCTCTTTCAGGGTACTCAGCAAGGTGTTTCAGTGGTTCCCAGATAATATGCCAAAAGACACAGCTTTTCCTACCTCTACTTAAAACTGAGCCTTTGAACAAATACAGTCTTTTCCACTTTTCAACTCTTCACTTCCTCTCTTCAGTCTCCTCCATTTATGAATCTATTCTTTCCCTTTTTCTTTTTTTTTCCCCCTTGTCCCTTGATAAGAGCATATGAGAAAGTATTTCCAATGTTATTTATTTTTCTTCCTCTCTCTGTTTTTCTGGTTTCTACAAATAACCAAGTGTACAAAATGGAGTCAAGATATACTGTGACTATATACCCATACATGAGCACGTCTCATGAACCTCTACATTTAAGTTGCCCTTGCAGGAGAAAAAAAACATGCAAACAAACAAACAAAATAAAACCAAAGCATAATTCTGAAGAACTGCTATGTAATACTCCAGTCTGACCTTACCTTAAAAATTCCAATAATGAAGAGTATCAATGTCTGCCAAAAATCTGAATGCTATATTACATTTCCTATGAAAATAACCTTTCCTAACTAGAAGGCAAACAAAAAAACCCAAAACAAACCAAAAAAACCCCAACAACAACAAACACAAAAAAAACCCCACAAACAATCAAAAAACTCCAGTGGTTTCTCATGACAATTGCGTCTTCTTTGCAATTTAAGCACATAAAATTTGCCTTATCAACCAAACCCATGGAGAGCAGGTAAACCATCCTGTTACAGAGTACCCTTTCAACTATTTAATATTACTGCAGAGTTTTAGTGAAGTGAATTGAGGTTCATTATTTTATCCACAACAGCCTTAGGATGGGAACAAACACATTCCAGATCACAGTTCCCTTTGTAAAAGTAAACACTGACTATTAAATCAGGAAACCCAAGGGATCAGAACAGCAACTCAAACGAGACTGAGCAGTAACAGATACTTTCAGCATACAAAGAACTGAACACTACAGGGCTGCTATTGCAGTACTGCTTATAACGTTCAATAGCCTCTTCAAGAGAGGAACAGCTCAGATGAAGGACATCATTGCATAGGAGTCCTCCATTCAGCTGTTGGAGAAGATGTAAAACTGTTCCTTTCAGGAACAATATTGCTATTCATATAGCTGCATCTTTGTCAGGTTCTCTTACTGCATCTTAGGAAACCTGTTCTAGTATCAAGTACAACACAAGACAGAAGCTCACTGGGAGTGGAGGGGCAGTGAAGAGAAACATGGAACTATTAAGGTTGGAAAAGACTTCCAAGATCATCAAGTCCAACCATTAACCTAACACCAGGTCCATCATTAAACCCCTAAGCACCACATCGACATGTCTTTTCAGCACTTCCAGAGATGGTAATTCCACCACTTCCCAGGCACACCTTGAGGTCATTTCTTCTTCTTCTATTGCGTGTAACTTGGGAGAAGAGCCCAACCCCTATCTCACCACAAACTCCTTTTAGGTAGTTCTAGACAGCAATAAGTTGTCCAACGAGCGTCCTTTTCTCCAGGCTAAACAACTTCAGCTCCCGCAGCCGCTCCTCACAGAACTTGTGCACCAGACCCCAGTACTGAGCCCTGGGGAACACCACTGGTGACAAGCCATCAGCTGCATGTAACTCCATTCACCATCACTGTCTAGCCTGGCCATCCAGTTGTGTTTTCACCCATCCAAGCCATGAGCAGACAGTTTTCCAGGAAAATGTTGTAGAAGACAGTGTCAAAGGCTTTACTAAGGTCCAGACAGCCAAAATCCACAGCCTTTGCCTCATCTACTAAGGTTGTCACCCTATCATAGAAGATCATATCAGCTTATTTCAAAATTCATTATTTGAATAATGATGAACTTTTCCTGCTTCTAATAAGTACATTTCATTTTTAAGAAAAATCTTCATTTGATCATATGCTGTATAACTTATCAGTGCAACTAGACTGAGAAGCCAAGGCCCCGAAGAAATTCCACAAAAAAATTAAGCTAAAATTGCACAGGAATTTTAGGCAGAAGTCATAATCTTTGCCTACTAACTACAGACTTTCCACACTAGGGTAAAAAAAAAAAAAGGTAGAAAACTATTACCCTTATGCAGCACCTGTAGGAACCAAATTTAATCTCCTCTCACAAACCACTTATAAAAATCTTTGGTGAGCAGAAAGTGTTGGTGGATAGTTGTTCACTGCCTGCTGGACACAGGTTACAAGAAATAAGATCCCTAAGAACTTTTAAGTTTCACCAGTGTTCAGAGCAAACCCGGGCAGGTAGGACCAGAGGCTTAAAGCCCATTAAAACTACTTTTGTTAATCATGGCTGCATTGCAATACACTGTCCTATATTCAGGCAACATGGCTATTACTTTAACTCCAGTTTCAACACACTGCAAGCAGTGAAAACTCAGAGGATTTATTATTTACAAAGACTAATATTCCTAATAAATGTATATTAATCATGGATGGCAGTGAAATCACACTAGCAATTATTACCCATGTTATTATCCATGAAGGGCATAGATCTGTTGGAGCTGGTCCAGAGGAATGCCACAAAAGCAATCAGAAGGCTATAGCACCTCACCTATGAAGGCTGAGAGAGTTGGGGTTGTTCAGCAGGGAGAAGAGAAGACTTTGAGGAGACCTTATTGTGGCCTTTCAATAGTTAAAGGGAGCTTATAAGAAATATGGGGACAATCATTTTAGAAGGGGAGAAACACCACCTATAACGCAGCTGTCTCCTTTGAGAACACACGCAGGATCACTCTCAAGGAAAAAAGGCAACGCAGAAAGAATCGTGTTCTGCAGAATTTACCATCTAAAGAGTCTTTCTGCTGTGCCTTTTGCAATCGGACGTGTCTATCTCGTATTGGCCTCATAAGTCACCAACGTGCCTGTAACAAATGTGGTTAGAGCCTTCCCAAATCTTTGTTCGCGAAGCCCAGCCATGATAAGAAATATGGGGACAATAATTTTAGAAGGGGTAATAGTTTTACATTTAGATGAGCTATAAGGAAAACGTCTTTTACAATAAGGGTGGTGAAACACTAGAACAGGTTGTGCAGAGAGGTGGTAGACATCCCATCCCTGGAAACATTCAACATTAGGTCATATGGGGCTCTGAGTAACTTGACCTAGTTGGAGATGTCCCTGCTTATGGCAGGGGATTTGGACTAGATGACCTTTAAAGGTCCTTTCCAACACAAACTATTCTGTGATTCTATGCTCTCACAGAAGAAGAGAGCGTCTGTGCACCCCTGTGTGTCTGCTGTCAGCCTCTATGTAAAAATCAGGATAGGAATGGATTTCATTATAAAGCATCACTTTACAACATATCCAATCTCTGATTCATTATTACTTTGCAAATCCTTTAAACAAGTAATTTTGTCATTTGTATTTGCATTAAATAATAATTTTTTAAGTATATTATTTTATACTTATCTAAATTAAATCTTAGACCATTTATAATTGCTCATCTCCTTTAAAAATCTCCATAACATTCTAGAATTACAAGACCTTTCTTTCTTCCAGTATATGTATAAAATAAGACATCTCCATACAATTTGCAAGCTTTAGCACAGTAACGTTCATTTCATCTTTCAGCTTTTTAGTGGAGATGATGCTTTTTTTTTTTAATAACAGTACAGACCATATCCACTGTTTCTGGACCAAATGCTTTCCCTTGCTTACCATGAAACACTTTTGCAATCAGCAATCCTAATCTGGTCTACTCCTTTCTCTGTTTCAATCACTTCTCAGACTCAGCTGCGAAAACTCCCCTCCGAGGAAGCATCAAGACATTCGCAGCAACTTAGACCATCAAAGATTCCTGAAGTATCCCGTGATTCACAGTATTACATCATACATTGCAAAACTTCCCACCCCAGGATACTAGGCATTACTACCTGAACCTGAGCACATATAACTCATGAAATCTTTGAGTTTTGTGGACTTCTCCCACCAGATCAAGACCCCGCAAGACTTTATCCATCACTTCAACCAACAAACATCAAAATTGCAACTACCAAGTCTCACTGCTGGATTAAATGGGCGGTGACTATATAACTTTGTATTTTATTCTTTTCTCTTTCTTTTCCTTATCCATTTTCCTAAGTGTTATTTCTACGTTTTAATATTGCTGTATTACTATAGATAATAACAACCAAAACAGCTTCATACCTGTTTTCCTTCACAACCAAATTGTTCTAAAACAAATCCTACATATATATGTATTTATAAACACAGATCATTCAGTGTCACTTCATTCTAATCTGCCCCAAGGGATCTATAAACAAGAACCTGGGTTACCCTTGCCTTCTGGGGCAGGTCATAACACATGGATAAATACTACACAAACCCTAAGCCCTAACCCTCCTCATTCATTTATATTTTAAAATTAATGCATTAGATTATCTTTGAGTATTTTTTACAGTCTGCCAAAATTCAAAGTCATATTGACAGTAATGTATACAAAAAGCAGTTTTCACACTTCCATATTTGCATACTTACTTCATCAGCAATAGCACTCTGTATGACAGGAA